CATTGGAGATCAAATTTCCACATGAGTTTTGGAGGGGACAGCACATCCAAACTCCATCACAGCTAGACTGGCTGTTATCAAAATGAAAATAAATGCTGGTGAGAATGTGGCAAAGGGGGAACTCTCACACACTGTTGCTGGGAATGTAAATTTGTACAGCCATTATGGAAAACAGTATGGCAGTTCCTCAAAACACTAAAAATAGAACTACCATATGATCCAGCAATCCCACTTACTGGGTATATATCCAAAGGAGAGGGAATCAGTACATAGACAAGACATCGACACTCCCATATTTATTGCAGCACTAGTGACAATTGGCAAGCTATGGAATCAACCTAAGAAAATGTGTATGTACACAATGGAATACTACTCAGCCATAAAAAGAATGAAATCCTGTCAATCGGAGCAAGATGGATGAGCTTGAAGGACATTATGTTAAGTGAAGTAATCCAGGAACAGAATGAAATACTGCATGTTCTCACTCATACGTGGAACTAAGAAAGGAGAGCCCTTAGAAGTACAGAGTAGAATGGTGGAAGCGGAGGGGAGAGGGAGAATAGGGAAAGGTTGGTTAACAGATACAAAATTACAGCTAGATAGGAAGAAAGTTCTAGTGTTTTATAGCACCGTAGGGTAACTATAATTAACAATTTATTGTGTACTTTCAGTTAGCTAAAAGAGATTTTGAATGTTCCCGCACACAGATAAATGATAAATGTTCGAAGTGATGAATATGTTGATTAAGTTGATTTGATCCTTACACATTGTGTGCTTGTATGGAAATATCACAACGTACCCCATAAATGTTAAATATTAAAATTTTTAATTGACATAATTATTATGTCTCAATTTTAAAAAATTTTTAAATTTTTTTAAAAAAGAAATAATTGGGAGCTTTTAAAAATAACAGTGCCACACACACAGAGTCTTAAGGGATTGGGTTTGGAGTAGGGCTGGGACAGCAGTGTTTTTCCAAGCTTCTAGGTGGTTCTGAGGTGCTATCTTGCTGAGACCCAGTGCTCTGGTTTATTCAGTTGGTCAGTTACTAGTTAGAATGTTTGAGTTATATGTTAAGAATGCAAATACAGAGTTAAATATCATGCTCTCATCTATAAAGAAAAAGGATTTGGTTATGTTAGGTTTGATTTCATCATTTACTTTTTGAATAGGTAATAGATTACATGGTCCAGAATTAAAGAAACATGAAAACAGTGAAAATTATCCTCTCACCCTCCATCAACTACTCAGCTTCACAGGAAACCACTATCTGTGTATCCTTTCACAGATATTTTATGCAGAATCAGAATTAAAGAAACATGAAAACAGTGAAAATTATCCTCTCACCCTCCATCAACTACTCAGCTCCACAGGAAACCACTATCTGTGTATCCTTTCACAGATATTTTATGCAGAATCTCTACAGGACAGGATCAGAATAGTGTTGATTTTCATGGCTAGTGTTGGTTATTTAAGTCCTCTATTTTTTCCCCCTTGAACAAATTACCAGAGCTTGTCTTTTCAGAGCACCAGCTTTGATTGAATTGGCTCTCTAATATAATTATGCTAATACCTGCTCTCTTTATCACATCCTTTCCTTGGTTCCTTTTGAGTTTATTTTGCTGTTGTTTCACAACTTCTTGAGATGGATTTTTAGCTCGTTTTCAATTTTTCTTTCTTTCTGTTTATGGCCATGTTTTTCTCTGAGCACTGCTTTATCACCAGTGCCCACTTTTTCTTTGAAATTTTTTATCAGGAAAACTTGAGACACATACAAAATAAATGAACCCCCATGGCACCCATCACCCATCAGCAACCGTCAGCATCCAGCCATCTTTACTAGACTTCTGTGTCCACCCCATCTGATTAATTGTTATTTTTTGGTAAATTTTACATACTTTATAGCCTCAATACCTTTCAAAATTTAAGCTTTCCTTTGAGTAATTCCATCTCGAATTGAGTAATTTCATTTCTAGAAATACATTCTTCAGATAAATTCACACATGCATGAAATTACTTGTATGCAGAATAATTTACTGCCAAGTGTTTTTTACTAGAACAACCTAAATGCCCATTGATAGAGGACTGGATAAATATATATTTCACCCATACGATGAAATACTTTGTAGCTACAAGAAAAACTTAGAAAGCACTTTAAGAGATGGCGCATAGAGAGTGGCATGATATCTTCTAAGGTGGGAAAACACTGTGTAGAACAGCAGGTGGTATACCAGCATTGCATCCACATGGAAGGTTGTAATATGTGTTTATGTATTTGGGACCTCCAGGCTATGTGCTGTGGACCAAGTAAGTCACACCAGCCCTCCCTCCACCCCACGTCCCACTGAAGACACCTAAGAAAGGTGAATGAAATGTGTGCAGAGTCTCTCAATAGCTTCAAAGGGGTAACAGGTTGGAAGAATAGTGCAAAGAAACCCCTTACACCCTGCACCCATAATCACCTATTCCTAACACTTTGCCGTGTTTAATTTATCATTCATTCCTCCTTCCCTCTTCCAAGAGAATAAATTTTTTTCCCATAGCCATTTGAGAGTTAGTGTCAGCAACATATTCTATACAAGGATGTTTTTACATAACCAGAGTACAATTATGAATCAGGAAATTTAGCGTTTGATATAATACTATACTCTAAAATATAGTCTACATAGATGGTAAATTTCACCAACTACCCCAGTGTTCTTTATAGCATTTCCCCCTGACTTAAGATCCAGTTCAGAATCACACATTGTATTTAATTGTCATGTCTCCTTAGTATCTTTTAACCTGCAAAGTTCTTCTGCCTTTGTCGTTGATGGCATTGAAATTTTGGAAGAATACAGGCTAGTTGTTTTGTGGAATGGCCCTCAATTGGAGTTTGTCTGATGTTTCCTCTGGATTAGATTCAGGTTATATTTTAGAGAGTAACACAACATAGGCAGTGTTGTGTCTTCATCACAGGATCACGTCACTAGGCACATGATTCTCATTTTGACCATGTGGCTATGGTGGCATCTGCCTCATTTCCCCACTGTGTAAAGAACCAGTTTTTCCCTAGGTGATAAGAAATGGCTATGGGGAGACATTTTGAGACTATGTAAAGATCCTGTTCCTCTTCAAGCTTCCCTCAGTTTCAGTGTGGTTTTCATTCACATTTCTCATCAAAGGGAGATTAAACCTGGCTTTCAATGTTTATGAGCTATGTCTACCTTCACTCTGAGCCTTCACTGCGTGTAGTTTTTTTTTTTTTTTTTTTTTTAGCATCTGGCCAGAAGGGGATCCAAAACCTTAACCTTGCTCTTATCAACAGAGTGCTCTAACCACCTAAGCCAACCGGCCAGCCCCTTGTGTGTAGTTCTTGAACCAGTTCCTGGTATTGGAGAAAGAGGCCGCCACTCTCAATATCTGAAATTATTGCTTGCTAAGCAAGGGAGAGCTAGACTGCAAAGCATATTCCTTCTAAACAAAGCAAATTGTTGACGGTTGTGGGGTTTGGGGATCAGTGGACTTTCAGAATTGGGGAGGTTGAGGAATTGTTTGGTCTTTGGTTTTGGAAGGTGGGCAGTGGAGTGAGGCCACTGCAGTCCGGCCAACTTTGAGAAGTGTGGCTACTGGTGTGAAGTTGCCATTGATCCATTAGGAAGGGTTTAAACTGGTTCTGGTAGTTAGTTATTTATAGTTTGTGATTATGACCAAAGAACAAAGAATAATCCATCTTTTTCCTTCTTGAACATGGAGAATTGGAGTCTTTTAGTGACTTCTAACAAGCCCTGCCAGGAATCATAAACACATGCCATGATTCCAAAGCCTTTCTTTTCCTAGCTCACCTGAGGAGTGGGGCACCCACTGATCAGTCTCATGGGTCCCCAAGGGGTTAGGGTGTCAGGTGCTTTGAAGGAGGTAACCCTGATGTACACTCCCCACCAGCTCCTATCTTGGGAAGTACTCATGTCAACAAAGCCCTCCCTTCATTATATCAAACCACTTCTTAAAAATTCAACTTTTCCACTAGATTTTTGTGTACCTTGTGACATTGCTTCAGATCACATGATTTCTTTATTAAAATGGATTTTTAATGATTTTAAGTAAAATGATATTTTTAAAAACTGATTATTTCACCTAAGATTTATAAATCTCAAAGCTGTAAAATAGAGATTATGGCATCTTGTCAAATACTGTTTGAGATACTATATACTCTCAAAGTTTTAATAGCAAAATAGTAAAAATTAATTATATGAAAGGTTCAATCTCTTCAGATTCTTAAAGCCCCCTTTGTGAATTATTTAGGCAGGGTTTAAGGATGGTGTTCTCACCTAATGAAGCGTAACACCTGCTTAGTTTTAAAATGTCCAAATCAATAACTTATTTCTCAAAGCCTGGGCTTGGGTCTGCAGAACATCACGTTGGGCACACAGTATTATGAGGAGAGGGAAGGCACAGGGATGCCTTAGAGGTTGGGCTTTGGAGTCAGACAGACCTGGCATCAAGTCCTGGGACTGTACTTACTTAACCATCCTTGGGCAGGTTGTTCTCTAGCTAGTCTCTGAGCCTTGGTTTTCTCATCTACAAATGGTTTAATAGGGCCATTATGAGGACTAAAGGAGATAATGCATGAAAGGATGTTAGCCTGGTGTCTAGCACATAATACATGCTCAGTTAGTGGTTGCTATCAAGAAGAGTTGGAAGAATCTGATCATCTTTTACCCCTACATACTTAACAGATAATGATGCTAATCATTTTAACAACTAGATTAGTTAATTATTGAAAAAAAGTTACACTTTTATTAAGAAAAAGTATCCAGAAAGTTGTTTATGATTTTTACTTTAAAAAACAAGTAAAGCCTGGCCAGTTAGCTCAGTTGGTTAAAGCGCAGCCTTATAACACAAAGATCAAGGGTTTGGATCCCCATGCTGGCCAGCTGCCCAGAAAAAAAGCAATTAAAGATTTGGTTGTTTCTGTCTCTCTCATTGTAAGTTGAAATGTACTGTAAATTGAAAAGGTACCAAAATATCATAAGCATTTGCTTTTTTTAGCTTTGCAAAATAAAATATTAGGGAACATCTGTCTTTAAATTGTGGCAGATACTCGTATGTATGTATTCTAGTTGTAATGGTTAAGAGCATAGGATTTGGGGCTGGCTGGTTAGCTCACTTGGGACAGTGTGGTGCTGGAAACAACAACGTCAAGAGTTCGGGTCCCCAAACCAGCCAGCCACTGAATTAAAAAAAAAGAAAAAGAGTGTAGGATCTGGAGTTAGATTACCAATTGAGCTCTGTCCCTTATTAGCTGTGTGATCTTGGGCAACTTCTCTTTGCCTCGTTTTCTCTTTTCCAAAATGAGGGAGAAGGGTAGTAGCTCCTTCAGAGAGCCTGTCATGAGGATTGTTTATTACCCTGTGTAAAGCGTCAGTCAGCACGTTAGCTAGTGTTATAGTTTGTCTTGTCAAGTGGTTGTGTGTGTGTGTGTGTGTTTGAGTGTCTGGCCTGTGCAGGGATCCGAACCCTTGACCTTCGTGTTATCAGCAACACACTCTCCCAAATGAGCTATGGGCCAGCTAGTGTCTTATTTTTATCATACATTTATGGGTATCATGATTTCATGTTCAGGATAAGAAAGCTACTTATGTCTATAGACCTTACTTTGTATTTACTACATAGTATTGAAACTATGCATTTTTAAACTAACACTAATTTTGCTTTTATTTTTTCCTTTCTAAAAAGTGATGTTCCTCCATCTTATGTTCAAACTAAATTTTATAAGCTGAAAGCTACCTGTGTTCCCTTTTGGCAGAAAAAGACTTTTCCAGGTCAGTATTCTTAATGTTCGTGCAGTTAAGAGCATGGCATGTGGTGCCACATGCTGGTAGTGTGAGTCACTTAGCAAGTGACTTTACTTCTTGAAGCCTCAGCTTCATCAATCTTAAAATGGTGAAAATTAGTAAATTATAATTCCTACCTGACAAGACTTTGAAAAGCATTAAATGAGATAATGAACGTGTAAAATGTGGTCACCACAGTGCTTGACACTTAGTGACCATTCAGCAAATACTGCAAGTGATGCTGGTATTGTCATCACACATGCTCACAAGCACAGACGCATGCGCTCACATAATATATGCCTGTGCGCATACCACATGCGCACACACAGTTCCAGAAAGGATGTAAGATGCCCAGTTCCTTCTTCGTAGCCATGCGTGAGTGGTTTAGATGTGTCAGATCTTCAGAGCCATGTGGGGAACTTGTTAAAAACATAGATTCCCAGGCACCCTCCCAAGCCTACCAAATCCTAATCTCCAGGCCAAGTTCACAGTCTGGGTTTTTTCTAACAGGCTTACAAGGGAGTCTCATGTGGTCCGCCTGGCACCAGTGTTTCTCCTGGGACCACTGGTTTGGGTGACAGTAGACCCTCGAGTGTGCAGTGAGCACTTCTTTGCATTCAGCAGGCATCACTGCCTGGGTTTGAATCATTAACTCCATGACCTTGGGTGGGGTGCTTGATGTCTTTAGGCCTTCGTTTCCTCATTTGAAAAATGGGTTAAAATTGGTGCCTACTTCATAGGACTTTTTACAAGGATTGAATAAGGAAATACAAGTAAATCCATTAGAGCAGGACCTTACAAGTAGCAATAATAGGAGCAGCGCCTTATCATTCCCAGTGTCTTATGTCCTTTGATGTTGAGAAGAGGCTTTGTACAAATAATTTCAAATTAAATTTTTTTTTGTAGAGATCATCGACTACCTTTATGAGACTAGTCTACCTTTGCTTAAAGAAAAGTTAGAAAAGATGGTGGAGAAAAAAGGCACTGAAGTCCAGACTCCTGCAGCACCCAAGCAAGTTTTCCTATTTAGAGACATTTTTTACTGTGAAGATGATAGTGAAGGAGAAGATGTAGAAGAACAAAGCTGAGCAGAGGTTACTATTTCGTCTCCTTTTTTCTGAGTTTGGTTTGTATTTTTATATTGTGTAAATAAAGCTGTTTTCAGTATTGATTGTTTATTAAAGAATGTACAATGGCCAGAAGAAGGTGTGTGATATGGCAACTTCTATTGCAGAGCATTAAAAATTTATTAACATTCATTTTAAAGTTTGAATATGAAAAGAGGAGTATATTAATTGATTTAATATTTCTGTACCATTATGTTGAAAATAATTCCAACTAATGGTTTTATAAAAGTATCCCAAGTCCCTCTAATTGCAGCAGAGGGTAGAGTCACATCCTATGAACGATATGAAAAGAGGAGTATATTAATTGATTTAATATTTCTGTACCATTATGTTGAAAATAATTACAACTAATGGTTTTATAAAAGTATCCCAAGTCCCTCTAATTGCAGCAGAGGGTAGAGTCACATCCTATGAACGGTTCATTACGTGCATTCAACTATGCGTGTGCTCAGCCAAAATGAGAAAGTTAACAATTTTAATAATGCATACAATTCTGCTTTCTGTCTTTCCAGTTGTATAGATCTCTCAGTGTATGCAAGTATTAGATCGGTGGTAGATGGAAGGTGTGGCTCTGCTCTTTCCTCAAACTGGTCTCTCTCCCCTTGTACCTGTTATAGTGTGCACATCTCATCTTCTTGAGTATGATTCTAGTGTTCAAAGATAGGTATTTTTCATATAAGCTGCCCTCTCAAAGCTAGTCACCAAGTTTACATGGTGTTCAATTGAAAAAACAAACAAAAAATGTCAGTCTCTTCCATTGCTTGTGGAAAAACTGGCTCTGTTAGACTTATTGAAAGAGGCTGTGTCAGTCTCAGGTATGACTTACTCCTGTCAGATTTTCAAGGATAATTTCAAGGATAATTTACTGATGGGCCTTTCCATCAGTAAAGAATCTAGATATTTCAAACAGAGAAGAAATTAATATAGGGATTCAGGTTATAGAATTGTTAAATGGGATGAAGGAGCCATCGAGGGAAGGTTGAGTTACCCAGAGATCGGGAACTGCAGGAAAGCTGTGTCCCTTCACCAGGCAGGTGGCCTCCACAGGAACCAGTGTCTCCATGGGACACGATGACCTCTGCCTCCTCCTGCCTTCTAGTCTCTCACAAGTGCTTCCCAGGGGCCACCCCTGCAGTCTGGGAAATCAAGTTTTCAGATTCGTAGGCCTGTCTGTGCAGGGGAGAGCGTAGCAAGGAAAATGTGGGTTAACAGTGGCCCATACATGATGTCACCGTCTGTGCCAAGATGTAGCTCCACTGTCTCCTGAGCACTCCGGCATCATTTTTTTTTTTTTTTTTAAAAAGATGACCGGTAAGGGGATCTCAACCCTTGGCTTGGTGTTGTCAGCACCACGCTCAGCCAGTGAGCAAACTGGCCATCCCTACATAGGATCCGAACCCGTGGCCTTGGTGTTATCAGCACCGCACTCTACCGAGTGAGCCACGGGCCGGCCTCACTCCGGTATCATTTATGTGCCACTGGTATGATTTTGGTGAATTAATTTGTCAGCTACACATGTTCCCAGACCTGCCACAGTGGGAAAAGGAAGAATACAGAGAAACCAATTTAGGAGTCCTTGTTCACTGTATCCCAGCACCTACCACAGTGTTGTGCAGATAGTAGACGCTCAATAAATACACAGTAATACAATGAATATTTCCTTCTTAGTAAACATTTCTCCTTTAGTCACCCCCTTCTATCCCTTAAACATACCAATCTCCATGCTGATGGGAGTATAAATTGTATGAGGGCACTTCAGAAAGTTCATGGAAAAATAGAACTGAAAGACAATACAGGCTTCTGGTCAAGATGGCAGAATAGGTGGTCCCCAGCGTCACTCTCTCCCACAAATCAACCAATTTACAACTATAAAAAGGCAACAATAGGGGCTGGCCCAGTGGCGCACTGCTACAGTGCGCCACTTGGGAAGCGCTGCGGCGCTCCCGCGGAGGGTTCGGATCCCACATACAGACCAGTTCCCGCTCACTGGCTGAGTGAGGTGCGGGGGCAACACGAGGATTGCAATCCCGTTGCCGGTCCCGGTCCGGTACGGGCGCGACACTGAGGGTTGCGATCCGTTGCCGGTCATGAAAAAAGACAAAAAGGAAAAAAAAAAAAAGCAACAATAGCCATGCTGGGGCCACTAGAGCTCATGGGAAGAACAGGAGAGACCTACAGAGTGCATGAAGGCGGGAGAAGCCACGATGAGAGAAAGAAAGGACGGCTCTGACTGTTTCAAGCCCCAGCCGTTTCCAGGCTGGAGGTGCTGAGCTCACAGAGCAGAAGCTGGCAAAAGCTGCAGCTGTGCCCTTCAGATGAGGTCACTTGGAGGTGGCAGGGAAGAAGAGGGCCATGGTGGCCCCCAGGCCAGCAAGACCACTAACAGGGTTCCCATGGACCCACATAGGAGCCATTCAGAGGCCGGTGAGTCATTGCAAGGGACCGGCCCAGGGCCCATCCCATGGGAAGTGTTTGCAGCATGAGTGGTGGGGGAGACAGGCCACCAGGAGAATACTGGGGAACAGCAAGGACAGCTGATCTGCACCCCAATCAGTGCAGGACTACACAGAGGAGACTGGTTCTGTATTCTCAGAGGAATATAGAATTGCATGAGATGCAGTTTGATGAAAAGACTCAGGCCCAGACCAGAGTTTCTACACAACCCAGGTGCACAGAAGCTCTCAAGAGCCGGAAGTACCTATAAAGTCAACCATTAAAACCTGAGCTGCACAAAAAGCCTTCCCCAGGGAATCAGCAGCAAAGCAGAAATTTAGCTCAACCACAGAGCTCAAGTACTGGTCCCCACAGGAATTCCCCCATTTTAGAAGCAAGCAAAGGACAACAAATCAGTTCCAGCACAGAGTTTAAGTGGTGGAAACAGCAAATAATCCAACACAGAACTGAAAGAGAAAAGTACCTGCAACCAGAGACAAAGCTTGATATTAACTATTAAAGGTCTCATTTCACCAAAGAACACCTATAACACCTAGAAGGACCAGAAGTCCCCTGGGCTACCAGTAGAAAGGGGGGAGGGCCGGGGCCTCAGCAATGCCCCCTGACACCCACAACCAATCCCAAGGGTGGGGAATGAGGGCCTTGGCCACGCCCCCCCGACGTGCACAGCCAGCCCAGTGACGAACACCAAAGCCACTGCAGGATGCACACCGGATTCTCCCAAGCCACGGTGGTGGGAGGCCTCGAGCCTCAGCCACACACCCCCAACACATGCAGCCAGCCCAGCAGCAACCACCGAGCTGCCACAGAAAGCACCCCAGGCCTCCCAAGCGAGGGCAGTGTGGGGCCTTGGGCCCTGACCACGAACCCCCCCCCCCCGACACCCACAGCCAGCCCAGAGGCAATCACTGAGCTGCAGCAAGAAGAGCCCCAGGCTGGCCCAGTGGCGCACTGCTACAGTGCGCCGCTTGGGAAGCTCGGCGGCGCTCCCGCCGAGGGTTCAGATCCCACATACA